GGGGGGGGGGTGGTATGTTTTTATCATATGAATAACTTTTAATCATGAGAATAATTTCACCAGCATTTGCTAATAGCATTTTTATACATTTACAGATTGGAAATTCAAAAATTTAAACAGATTGGAAATTTCAAATTAAAATCTCAATAAAATGCATATATTATACATATTTTTCTTTATATATAAAACATATATTTTATCATTTAAAAATGCAATTTTCATACATTATATATAGCATTAATATCTTTAATTTAGGATTTAAATATTAATTACTGACCTTTAATATACATAAAAAAATTACATTAATACAGAAATGAGAATCACCCCCAATAATAATATGAATTTCAATACATAAAATGTCCTTTAATAATTTAATGGTCCTAAAATAGGCTTTATTCTTTATACAAAATTCAAAACTTTTCTTTTTTTTTGGCATGAAATGCAATATTTCTGAGTGATTCAATGGTTAATAAGAGCCAATAGGAGGTTTTCAAACAGGTAAATGTGTGTGCACATTATGTTTGTGTGTGTCACGTACCGTTAAGGTGTAGTTGGTCTGTATCTCTCGGTCCACTGGTTTCAGTAGAGTAAGGTAGCGTGTGATGCCAGTAGATGTGATGGAGAAGATGGAGGTGTAGTCATTCAGAGTGATCTTCAACTGAGGATCTTTTGTCTTCACAAAACAAACAAAGCTGAGAGGTCAAATGCAGCATCACCACACGTTAATATGAGCATGACACACCGTCCAAACAAACCTCATGCAGTCACGCAATCCTCATGTTGCATAACACTAAAGAAAGTATCACTCAACCACCTAATACACTCTGACACGCAAGAGCCTCTACAGAAATACAACAGCTTGTTTGAAAGTCCAGAGAATTCAAAAGTCAAAATCTAATGTATAAATCCAGAGAGAAAACGAAGCGCATGCACATTTGCACAAAAGTGCTGTGTCATTAAAATTGATCATATGTCAATACAAGCTGTTTGTCTGCAAACCACCTGCATTAGTTTGTCTATTAATTTATCTCATCTATTCAGTCTATGTTGGTATGTTTTTATCATATGAATAACTTTTAATCATGAGAATAATTTCACCAGCATTTGCTAATAGCATTTTTATACATTTACAGATTGGAAATTCAAAAATTTAAACAGATTGGAAATTTCAAATTAAAATCTCAATAAAATGCATATATTATACATATTTTTCTTTATATATAAAACATATATTTTATCATTTAAAAATGCAATTTTCATACATTATATATAGCATTAATATCTTTAATTTAGGATTTAAATATTAATTACTGACCTTTAATATACATAAAAAAATTACATTAATACAGAAATGAGAATCACCCCCAATAATAATATGAATTTCAATACATAAAATGTCCTTTAATAATTTAATGGTCCTAAAATAGGCTTTATTCTTTATACAAAATTCAAAACTTTTCTTTTTTTTTGGCATGAAATGCAATATTTCTGAGTGATTCAATGGTTAATAAGAGCCAATAGGAGGTTTTCAAACAGGTAAATGTGTGTGCACATTATGTTTGTGTGTGTCACGTACCGTTAAGGTGTAGTTGGTCTGTATCTCTCGGTCCACTGGTTTCAGTAGAGTAAGGTAGCGTGTGATGCCAGTAGATGTGATGGAGAAGATGGAGGTGTAGTCATTCAGAGTGATCTTCAACTGAGGATCTTTTGTCTTCACAAAACAAACAAAGCTGAGAGGTCAAATGCAGCATCACCACACGTTAATATGAGCATGACACACCGTCCAAACAAACCTCATGCAGTCACGCAATCCTCATGTTGCATAACACTAAAGAAAGTATCACTCAACCACCTAATACACTCTGACACGCAAGAGCCTCTACAGAAATACAACAGCTTGTTTGAAAGTCCAGAGAATTCAAAAGTCAAAATCTAATGTATAAATCCAGAGAGAAAACGAAGCGCAATGCACATTTGCACAAAAGTGCTGTGTCATTAAAATTGATCATATGTCAATACAAGCTGTTTGTCTGCAAACCACCTGCATTAGTTTGTCTATTAATTTATCTCATCTATTCAGTCTATGTTTGATTAATTCAGTCATAGACAGAGAGAGATAGAGAGATGTATATAAAATATATGTAAAATACAACAGTATAATGGATAGACATGGATAGTATAATTGAATTTAGTTTATATAATATATAATAAGATTAATTAAAATAAATATACTGTATGTGTGTGTGTGTGTGTGTGTGTGTATGTATGTAAAATACTTGTTTGAAATAAAACTCCAAAACAAACTTATGTAAAGCTGGTATTTTTATCATACATCAACATTTTTTTATCAAGAGTATAATTCTAGTTGTAATTGTACTTTTATACAATTAAAGACTCATTAAAATCACAATCATTGATATGTTTTGCATATTTACATATGTATAACCCAGGATAACATTTGGTTACAATTTACAGTCTCTCTTTTCAAGGAAAAGAGAAAAATATAACGGTTAACTCTTTTTGCATGCACATTTTTGTGCAATCGATTGCTGTTTAGAATGAGAGCGTCTGCCTCACAAACAATGGCTCACAACTGTGACAAATTATAGACTACTGGCGAAAAAAAGACAAACTATTCAATATATCATGTCCCAACTTCATGTATTAATAGGAAACACAGCAAAGGAGGAAAGAAAACTGCATTTGTTGAACCACTATATTATAAATACAAAAGAAAAGAAAAGAGGGCACACATCACATCACTCTGGTACCTACTGGTGTGGCCCCTGGCAGCAGCTACAATATAAAACATATGGAGAGACTGAAACCATCTGTGATTTTATGCATCTTTGCATTCCCAAGACAGGAGTGAAGCAACATTTTGAAAATGTCCTGGCACTTTTCATGAGAACATCTCACCTCTTCTATGTCATTGTCCAGTGCGATGATGCCCAGCGGGGCCGTGAGGTTGGAGCTCCCTGAGATGGTGGTGCCAACCGAGGCAGACTCACTGATGAAGCCCTGGTACGAGGAACGCTGGAAATATGGCGCCTGGTTGTTCTCATCCAGAATTTCAATCTGCAGGTCAGCGTATGCAGGAAGAGGGTGACCGTTATCCTGCTCGGCCTGTTCACGAACAAACAAACTGTTAAAATTCTCTAAAAAGAAAAGCTTAAGGTTGTCCTATGGTTGACAGTTGCTTGACACTCTTTAATTTGCAAACAAACTATAATCTGCTGTATTTCTATTCAAACATCATGATGACAGTACAATGGTAATGAATTATTAACATATTCAAATAACACTGTATTCACATGGCATTCCTTTAAGTAAAATTACATAAAAATGACATTACCAAGCTACAATATCCAACATGGTACATAAGAAAAAAAAAATCATGATGGTAAATGTCCAAAAAAAAAGTATAATTGAGATAATTTTTATTAATATTTTGAGTTTTTATTTAATTTTTCATATATTTTATTTCATTTCACTTCAAGTTTATTTTAAGAAAATTTTTTATGGTTTTAGTTTAAGATGTAATGTAAAGGTATATAAAATATAAATATAATAAAATATATAATATAATATAAACTTTATATTTTATATAAAACTTTTTAATATATATTTTATTAAAATAAATAAAATCTTTTTTTTTTCAGTGTAGTTAAACTAGTGTAACAAAATTGTAGTAATGTCTAAAGCCAATCAAGTAAAACGTTTTTTTTTTTTTCCTATTAAATTCTAATTCATCAAAGGATATTAATTAATCTTCACTCATTTCTAATTAAAGTCCAGCAGTTAAAATTCATGGACCCAAAACGGCTCAAACTGATCTTTGTTTATTAAAGAGGAGTATGTGGATACATCTCCCTGAATATTTTCATTTCAATTATGAGCCTCGTCTATCGCTGATTTCATTAAGAAGCCATGAAAGACTGCAGCTCAGTAACTCAATAGCCACTTCACACATTTGAAACACGCACACATGCGCACATCTGACAATGTTGACAGCGGCAATGCTTTGTTTGTTATTTGGGCTCGAATTTCAGCAAGCTTGAAGCGAACTGAGAATAGCATATCGTTCTTTGTTATTATGAAAAGACGAAATCATAACAGCAAACACAGTCATGCATCGTTTCACAGAGGAAACATTTAAATTACCCCTGCTGTTACACTGTTGTTCCACCAAAATCTATGACAGAGCAGGATCATTTCACACCAGCGCTCACTTCCTTTTTTCAGTTTCTCTCTCTTGCTCTTTCTCTTCCAGCTCAATTCAATTAGAAGATACAGCATGTTTAATGTAATTAAATATACAAAGCTCTATTCCAAAAGCTAGTGAGCTGCCTCGGTGTCTACCACCTACAAAGGCAGCATCCTAACTGAAATGGGATCTCAAGCAACGCTCTACATAGGCAGAAACTGTGTGGCATACAAATAATGCTCTTTGCAAAAAGCTCATGGGAAACCGGAATGATTGATTAATTTCAGTGCTAAACTAATGATGTGATGTGATAACAACATACTATTTTACCCGGTTTTTGTATGTGATACATACAAAAACCGGGTAAAATAGTATATTGTTAATTAGACAGAACTACACTACTGTTCAAAAGTTGGTTGTTGGAAAGATGTTTTCAAAAAAGTCTCTTATGTTCACCAGCACTCCATTTATTTGATGAAAAATCCAGTAAACTGCTAAATATTTTTACCATTTAAAACAACTGTCTTACATTTTAATATATATTTAAGATGTAATTTATTCCTGTGATGCACATTTTCAGCAGCCATTACTTCAGTCTTTAGTGTCATGTGATCCTTCAGAAACGTTGAAAACAATTTTGCTGCTTAATATTGTTGTGAAACCATGATCCATTTTCAAAAGAACATAATTATTTGAAATAGAAATCTTTTGAAACATTATAAATGTTGTTACTTTCACTTCTGATCAGTTTAATGCAGTGGTCACCAACCTTTTTAGGCCCAAGATCCCTGACCTCGGCCTTTATGAAAGACAAGATCTACCTATTGAAGAATTGATAGAAAAAGACATCCCAGATTGTACTTCAAATTTGAGGCCTTTTACTTAGTATTTTAATTAGTGATGCGCCGATCATAGCTAATTCAGATTTACTTTTTTTTTAATTTCTTTATTTCTTTATTTTTAACTAGCAAATTGGATTCTGATACTGATACTGATTTTTAAGCAAATTTATTTATTGGCTATTTGCTTTATAACAAACAAACTGGCTTTAAACAAAAATATCTATCCATTTGAAATTAGAGGCAACCACTGCATTTTAATCACGATCTGCAAGGGGCAGTTGTTTTTGATTTGATTTAGATTAATTTCAGGATTTAAAACAAAAACAGAATGGTCTGACTTTAGGTGTTATTTATTTATTTGCTACATAAAACATCTGCGCGAAACAACAGCAGGTCTGAATGAGACGCACCCTCTGACAGCAGGTGGTACTAATGAACAGGGTTGCCAGGTTTTCGCAATAAAACTCGTCCAATCGCGTTTCAAGGAGGGTTCCCCTGTAGAAATCGCATTCCGGGGGTAAAATACACGTTTTTCGGCGGGGATCCTCAAGTAAAATTCACATTCCAGGGACTAAATATCACGTTATTGGGGTCGCTTCAACCCGCGGACATGAACAACAACCCGCGGCAACAGTGTTAAGTAGCCCAATCAGCGGGAAAACCGCGGACTTGGCAACACTGCTTATGAACCGACCGCACTATAGCTTTTCCTTGTTTACCGCTGTAAGCAAAGCAGAGTTGCACTTTATACGGAGAAGAAAATACCATTGCCATCGAACCTTTTCTCAAGCCAGTACCCTTCAGTGATACATTAATATAACCCCATAAATGTAATGCATTTTTGTACTTATTTTACTGTTTTGTTCGGGATCTACTGGGACAGTGATAAAGATCTACCAGTCGATCGCGATCGACGGGTTGGTGACCACTGATTTAATGCATCCCTGCTGAATAAAAGTGCTCAAACTTTTGAACAGTATGTATGTTTAGTCAATCTTTTTTAGTATTGACAAATGCAAAGTTCATCACAAATGCACTGTGAAACCACATTCTCTATAAAATGATATATGTGATGCTGCCTTGCAATAATTTTTTACAGTAATTAATGCTGTGTACCTTTTATGGCATCCTTTGCATCAAGAAAGCAACTACAAAGCTTTAAAATGCTTCCTAAATAGACAGCTCACTAGGTTTTTAAACAAAACCAAAGTGAAAGTGTGTACATACAGACTGTGTTCAATTTCGGATACTATTGCTGTAAAATGAAGATAATATTTCCAGAAATATACTGCAGCTAATACCGGGTGTTATTTTGGTCATAAAGCATTGAGCCAGTACTATTGTAAAAATGATGACACTCTTATTGACGCTTAAATGTAAGAGCCTCTGGAAACGGTGAGCAGGGTGTTAGATGAACCTCTCTTATCTTTACAGCCATCTGTAGAAGATAACCTGATGATGATACCTTAATAACGAGATTGAAGCGCTGGTACAGCTCTCTGTCCACAGGCTTCAGCAGCCGCAGCTCAGCTGTGCTCCTGTTGAGCGAAAAGAATTCTAGGTACGTAGCAGGTTGACCTGAAACGTAGTACAGAGAGAGACACAAAACTTGTGTTATTATATGATTCATGCTATTATTTATACTAAGCTATTGGATACAAAAAAGGGAATTCCATATGCCCTACCTGAACATATATAGTCTGCTGTAAACCCTAATAACACATTAAAGAACCGAGTTTCTCTTTTAAATGTATGGAAATATTGGTTAAGAGTACAGTTGTGTATATATGCATCTATTTTTCAACACTTGCAAAATATGTGAATTGAAGTACCTACCAACCAGTATGAAGTACATGATTCCCGGTCTGTCTGAGGGTGGCTGGATGTTTCTGTCCTGGTCGATGGCTCGAATGGGAGGTGTCACATTCAGAGGGTTCAGTTTGCTCTGAAAAAAAGAAGATAGGAATAAATGACTAAGGGGGCAAACAAGATTAGAGTAGGCTAAATTAATTCAATATGCAATTTTTTTTATCATTTTATATATATTGTTTCACCCTAGTCTGGACTCAAACGTTTCTCATCAGATTCTTCCAAGACCAAATGATCTGAACTATGCTATCTGCATCACTTCCGCACCAACACATGACTCCAGTTCATCAGTTAAGGGAGTTTTGATTCAAACCATTACTTCTGCCCAAAATACAAGTCAATATTTCATAATAACGTTTCCTCCAGTGAAAAAGTCCATCCCACGACGTCCTCTTACATCCAAACATATTTATTTAGAACTGTTTTGGGCTGTTTTCTTATGTAAATGACTGATCTGTGCATATTTCTCACTGCATAAAAAAAAGAGCTGTATACGGACCAGTAAACTCCTGTACACACCGCAGATTTTCGGACAAATCTCGGAGTATTACTGACCAGACACGTTGTTTTCAGAATTGTGATTTGCTTTGCACTTCACGGCCACCGTAGAAATACCATAGGTCCGTATACTGCCAGATATGTATCAATTCGGATGTATGTTACTGAGGTATTCTTCAGTGCAATAGCCATTTGTTGCCATGGCAAGTAATCCCCTAAATGAAGGGGGCGTTCACACCTTCGTGGCACTGTGCCCTCCCCTTTTGGTTATTCATGTTAAACTGGATTGGTTGATTTGAAACTAATCCCACCCCTAAACCAGACAGCTTTTGGGCCACTGAGCACACAGACTTTCCTCAAAAGTCATTTCATTGGTAAACGTATTTATCCCACCCAAAACCCTTACAGAAAGTGAATTTATTGGTTACATTTAGAATACATCCCTCCCAAAAACCTTACAGGTGAATGATGTGATTGGTTGCAGACCAGGTGGGCAGATTGATTGTTTGTCTTTATTAGGGGAAAATAGTAAATAGTATCCAAAACATAAAAACAGTCAGAAAACAATTTCAGCATTTAAAAATACAACATCTAGTTTGAATTAAAGATTGCAAACAAATGCAGTAAATAACACATGAAATGAAGTGTCCCAGCAGACTCCATTCCTCACTGTAGATCCTGTGTGCAGCCACATCAACATCTTCATCTTACATTGAGCTCAACCATTTCTGTCCTCCGCAGTGCTCTTTCTGTGTTTGTTTCGGTTGACCTTGTCTCCAGCAACTGCAAAACAGTAATGTTGACAATAATCTTTACAGGCTAATAGCCTATTTAAGAAGCTACATCATGTCAATTTCTAAACTTACTGTTGTCTCTCTGGCTTTTTGTTGTTGTTGCCACAACCGTGATTGAGTGTTTCAGCTGGGCCTTTCTGGAGTGAAACTATGAAAACCTCTTCCTCATAGCCTCATCATAATTCCTGCAGCATACCTAAAAGACATAAAATGTGTTTAGTAAAGGAAACTATTTAATTGGATAGGTGAAACAATACAAAAATGCATAATAAAACATTGCAACAACCTTCTGAACTTATGTATGTTACCATTTATAATCTCTGAAGATGAGTTGACCCAGTCTTGTGTGTAGGATACTGTAGAAAAGAGGAAACATTATCTGAGAAAAATTACAGTATAAATATAGTTTTGACATTATATATATATTTATATTTATATTACCCAATATAAATAATTAATCTTACCTGGTTTGTGCATTCTGTTGAAGTGGATTCTTCCCAGAACTGTGCAATCTTACAAATGTTTCAGTCTGTAGATGTTGGTGTCCTCAAGAAGTGTGACTTGAGATCAGGTCAAACACAAAAGTCTTAGCCGGGGGTGGGGTGTGTGTGTGTTTGTGGTTGTGGGAGGGGATAATTTATGAAGAGTTAGATATATTAGAGACCAGTGCTATTTGACACACTTTTTACATAAAATATTTATCAGGGGAGATATCTTTTGAAAGTATTGTTTGTTTATATGTAGTTTATAATTATAATTATATATATATATATATACTCTTTGCTAGTTTTGACTAAACATAACTATTGAGTTCCACTGTTGCCCAGGAGAAGATACACATCATACCTCATAACACACACTGACTTTTGGGGGGCATTAATCACTATTGGTAGAGATACTGCTAGAGAAACCTCTTCTCCTGATACACCAGTAAAGGACCAGGTCATAATTTCTGTGAAATAATATGGAAGGAATGAAACTGGGAACATACATAGATATGTTCTCTAATGGCTCTGTCAAAAATAATAAGGCTAAATAAATATAAATAAGATATTTGAGATCTCTCCTAATTCAGATGAGATGTAATTTTTTTTCACTTGAGAAAGAAATATTTTGGATTTGTATTATTATTATTTTTTTTTTCATTTCACAAGACATTAATTGATGGACTGGAGTTGTGTGGATTATTGTGAGGTTTTTATCAGCTGTTTGGACTCTCATTCTGACGGCACCCATTCACTGCAGAGGATCCATTGATGAGCAAGTAATGTAATTTTTTTTGTTGAACTATTCCTTTAACTAACCAGAAGTAACAATGGGCAACACATTTGTTACAGTACTTATTAATCTTTGTTAATGTTAGTTTAGCTGTTCATTGTTAGTTCCTGTTAACTCAAGTCCATTAAATTATAGATACAACTTGTGTCTACTTTTACTTCTCCAAATTTCAGGAGAAACATCCGAAACAAAGTTGATACATAAATAAAACACTTTGAGATCTCCATTAAGTCTCAAGCTATGAAAGAGCATACACTGAGGGTTCTTTTCCTCTGGGCTAAAAGCAAAGTCCTTGGGACACTTGATTGTATTAATCTGTGCTCTACAGATGAGTGTGCATTTCGTGTAGACAAATATGGCCTCTAACGGATATGATAATAAGAAGCATCTCCTTTGGGATGGGTGCTTCATTAAAATGGCAGCGTAAATACAGACGCTCCATGTTAAATATGTGAGCACAGTAAATCAGAATTCTTGCCCACCTGAGACGTTTAAAACTACCCATAATCCCCCCCTCCAGCAGGCATTAGGCCGATTAATCTGTGCCTAGAGACAGGAAAAAGACTCTCGAACCATATCCCAGCTCTAATTGTGAAATATGTGACCTCATTAATTACCACTATTCCTGCCAAAGGAAATGAGAGAGAATCTATGTTGGGAATGGAACACTAGCATAATGCTTACTGCATACTGCGCAGTACACACTGACTACTGGCCAGTATTGTTTTAAAAATAGTATCTGAAACAGAACACATTATGCATTTATACAGGATGTGTTTACATTAACTTATTAAAATACTACTCTTAAAATCTCTGCAGTACCATGTGTAGCATGTGAATTTTCAGTACTGTATAAGAAGATAGCTGAAAGCCACAATTCAATTTAACATGAGAGGTAATGTGACTACAATGTAGCATAAAACTTTTAAAATAGTTTCATAGTGCACCCAGCCTGAACTTAGTCAGCTATTTCAAATAGTAGCATGCTATATTGCTGTCACATGACCCCGTTATCATTATGTTAAATTTAGTTAATGCTTCAGGGAACGAGGGTTACCATACGTAACCGAGACGTTATCATCTCAAACAAATAAACAAATAAAGATACACCACAGTTAAAATGTGTGGTCAGTAAGATTATTATTATTAATAATAATAATAATAATACTAATAGCAGTTAATACTTTTATTCAGTAAGGACACCCTAAATTGGTCAGAAGTGACAGTAATTTTAGTAACATTTATAATCTTGCAAAATATTTATATTTCAAATAAATGCTGTTATTTAGAACTTTCCATTCATCAAAGTTCGTGTTAGGTTTCGACATAAACATTAAGCAGCACAACTGTTTTCAACATTGATAATAATAAAAATGTTTCTTGAGCAGCAAATCAGTATATTAAAATAATTTCTGAAGGATCATGAAGACTGGAGTAATGATGCTGAAAATCCAGCTTTGCATCACATGAATAAATTAAATTTTAATATATATATTAAAATGCAAAACAGTTATTTTAAATTGTAATAATATTTCACAATATTTTTGTTTTTACTGTTATTTTTTGATCAAATAAATGCAGCCTTGATGATAATTTGAAGATATTTGCTTCTTAAAAATCCAGTTGAACTTAACTTATTTTCTTTTTTTTTTTTTTCAGTATTTTATGTTTGCACAGAAAATGTGCATATAGATTAGTCATACTATAGTATAGGCCTACTGCAGAAAGTATGCTACTCCAAACACAGCCACTGTCAGAGCAGATCAACAGAATGAATGTAAAATGTGTTTGTGAGGGGGTCACCCAATCTAAATCAAATTTCTGAAATGGATTTCCTCATACACTAATCCTTTATAATTTGTGAGATAATCAGAGAACAGCAAGAAAAGTGAAAGGAGATTGTCTCTGTGAAAACGCATGAATTGCAGCAAGCAGAATGCAAAAAGGAGAGTAAAACAGCTCGAAATGAAGCAAATCTGCAGCACTTTTATTCAGTGCAGAAATTGGCAGCCGTTGGGAGTGCAGCGTCTGCAGTGGAAAACATTTTTAGCATAAATTACGGCAGTCCCCCCTGAGCAAAGATCAGCCGTGGCTGTATGTGCTGGACTCTCTCCTTTTTTCTCCATGTGGTTTGGTTCCATAAAGATCCATCTCCTCAGAGGTCTGCCCACCGCAGCTCACCTCAACTGGGGTCTGATTTCATCAAAGCTTCACATCTTGGCTTTGATGGGTGGTGAACCCTGTGGTTTTACTGAGGGTCTCATCCCACTTTGTCTCTACTCCCTGTCCCTGATCTCATTCAATCTGTACCAGCTAACTTTCATCAGCCACCTATTTTTCTCATCTAAATCCCTCATTTCTCACCCTTCCTGCCCCTGCTGTATGAGTCTCATCTTTAGCCAAGCACAGGTCAGTAGAGCAACGTATGTGATGGGAAATATGAAAGGACTGACATTTAACCGGTGAAGGGTCAACAAAACACCAACAACACAATGACACAAATACTGGGCTTTACACTTTTCTTGAGCTTGTCCGTACAATGTCCAGTGAAAACATCAAAATGTCCTTCAAGTGTCAACGAACAAGACATGATTATTAAAAGTTCACTATTGGATTCTCTAAAAAAAAAAAAAAAAAAGAAAAAGTAAATTGTGCCATTCGTCAGTTGTCACGTCACGCTGTTGAGGGAGCACGCTGGAGTCACGAGGAAACGTTTAACAGTCTTTAATCATGAAACACAGGAGATAAGCCACAATAGAAGCTTGAGCCAACACACATAGAGAACGAGTAGACCTGACAAACAAAAACTGAACAGACTAGGACTTAAATACACAGGGAAATGAGGATAATAAACTAAACACAGCTGGAAACAAATGAGGAACTAATCAGGGAACCTAATGGAAACAGGAAGGACCAAATAAGTAAACACAGGACCAGAAACAGGGGCAAAACACAGAATCCTGACATCAGAAAAAACATGCTCAGGTAACTGCTGTACTGCATAAATTTTTTTTTATACCATTCATATACCATTTATAATTTTATTTTATACCATTCACAGGTTTGAGGTTAGCAGGCATAGTTTTATCCATCAAGGATGCATTAAATGGATCAAAGGTGACAGTAAAGTTGAAAATATTAAAATAAATGTTGTCCTTATAAACTTGCTATTCATTAAAGTAAAAAATGTATCAGTTTCCACAAAAATATTAAGCAACATAACTGTTTTTAACACTGATAATATTAAGAAAAAAATGAGCACCAAATCAGCATATTAAAATGATTTCTATAAAATATATTTTTAAAAATTATTTTGCAATATTATTTCACAATATAACTGTTTTTACTTTTTTATCAAACAAATACAGCCTTGATGGGCATAAGAGACTTTTTTCAAAAACATTTAAAAAATCTTACCGACCCCAAACATTTGAATGATAGCAAACCGTCAGTGAGTGGTCCTTGCTGTGTGAGGCTGAATTATTAATGCACATACAGTGCATCGTTTCTTTCTTTCTTTATAGTTCAAGGCACAATCTCATGCACAAACCTTGTTCTCAAGCACTCAAGTCTTTCTCTAAGAAAGCATCTATCCAGGGCTGCCCACTGCATAACCTCAGATCACCCTGTCTTGCTATTGGGTCACAGGTGAAGTGTTTCGGTCAAGTTAAGACATCTTCCTGCCTTTGTACCTAGCTATACCAGACGCTGCATACAGCATCATGACTGTAGCTTGTGGCAAGTAACAGGTTCTGACAACATCCTTATTTGAAAATCCAGGTAAAATCTTAAGATGGCAGCTGGTTTTATATGGTTTATAGTTTCTAAATATCCAACTGGGACCAGCTAGAAACCATGATCTTTAGATGGTCCTTGATCCACTTACAGCTACCTGGTTTGGACCTGTTTTTTCAGTTGGAAAATAAATGTATGAAGGGAATATTCAACATTTAAAGACCTCTGAAGTTCTCTGCAAGTTCTTACCGGGTCAGTGAGCTCAGGAATAGCCACACGGTATGTGATGGGGTTACAGTCCTGTGTGTTGTTGACCAGAACACACGGGAGGAACATAGGACCCAGATCATCTCCATCCGAGACATCCAGAGTTAGAGTAGTGGTTGCTGTGCGACGAGTTCCCGGATACGGAGCCCGGTCCTGGAAAGAAAAGCTGGCATGTTACCATAGATACAGACCTTTAGATTCACATACACAGATCTGCATACAGAGAGACAACAATAATGAGAACAGAAGAATGAGGGAAAAGAACAATAGTTTAATTTATTTTTAAATATTTAAACACTAAAGTCAACTAAAGTCTTTTTATTTTTTTTTTATTTTGCTAGAACAAGCAAAAGGTGTTTTTTAAAACTGTTAAATTATCATGCATAAATAAATTTTTGCATATCATACTGTGAACTTATGACCGTTTATAAACTTTGTATTTTTCCACACAGAAAATCTTAAATACTGTCAGATGTTCAAGATGAAATTTAATAGCAATGAATCCAGACCAACAGGTAAAGAAAAAATGTAGTGTAATTAAATGTAATTCTCCAAATTGTAATTATTGACTTAACAAATTCCAACAACCAGGATCTAAATAAAACGTGCATTATTCATATCAAAGCCAACTCTGCTGTTCTGTATTTTTCCTTCGAAAAGATTTCAGAGAGAAAAAGAAAAAAAAAACAGTAACAAATCCATCCCCTCATTTTCCACATCCTGAAATGATTCCATTTTCTTCAAGGAGAGCTGTTGCAGCCTTGACGTAAAGCATTTATTTGAGCCATTTGGCTCTATGAAAACATGCTTACGGCCTCCAGGGTCTGGACACCCTCATAGGGATGCTGTTCGAGACGGGTTTGGAGCTAGTTGTGTATGCAGCTCATGTAAGGGTGGAGGGATGCATTTGGAAGTGAATCAGGATGCCGGGTATTCAGTGACAGATATAGGGAGGTGCCTGGAATTTTAAAAAGTGCATTGTGCAAACTGGCAACCTAACAGGCCCAGAGCGCTTGACCAAAATTCAAGGTTATTTTTTTGCAATCTACAGGAAAGGTTACAGAGTGAGAAGTCATTTAGCAGACATCTTTATCCAAAGTGACTTACAGCTCATGGCTCGCTCCTTACAGGGATCAGATAAGTAAGCCTTCAATTACTAGCACAAGTATATGCACATTGTTAGGGTTGGTTTGAACTTAAAGCAATAATGTGCAATATAAACAAGTTAAGGTTGATAAACAACATATGAACAACATCAAAAACAGTGTTTATAGTAAAACAATGGAAGTTGTACTAAGTCATAGCTTTTAAGCTGCATTTATAGCGATGGCTCCAGGTGTTGTTTCAAGGCAGGTGAACTCTTCAAACTTGTAAGTGTTATGCACAGTAATCATAAACACAAATTCAAACTCATTCACCCTCAAAATCAAAGTCAAAAACTCTCAAATGTAATCTCACAAGTACAATTTCTAACTTATAAACTCACAAATGCAAACCCAAAATCTTTCAAACATATACTTGCAAATACAAATTCAAACCCATAAACTCACAAATGCAAATTCAGGAACTCTCAAATGTAAACTTGCAAGTATAAATTCAAACTTTTAAACTCAGAAACATAAACCGGAAAAGTCAGAAGTACAGATTCCAACTCATAAACCATCAAATGCAAACTCACAAACAGGAACTTAAAAACTCTCGAACATAAACTCAAAACTTGTAAACACAAATTACAAACATGAATTTAAAAACTCAAATGTAAACTCGCAAGTATAAATTCAAAAACATAAACTCTCAAATTCTAAACAATAGACTCACCAATGTATATTAAAAAACTCTCAAACAAACTCAATACAAGTACAAATTACAAATTCAAACTCATAAACATTCAAACTCAAAAACGTACAAATGCAAACTCACAAACATGAACTCAAAAACTCTCGAACATAAACTCAAAAACTTGTATACGCAAACAAACGTCAATTTAAAATCTCTCAAATGTAAACTCGCAAGTACAAATTCAAACTTCAAAAACTCATGAACATAAACTCACAAATTCAAATCAATAAACTCACCAATGCAAGTTCAAAAACTCTAAAACCTAAACTTGCAAGAACAAATTCAAACTCATAAACCTTCAAACTCAAACTCAAAAACGGACAAATGCAAACTCACAAACTTGAACTGAACCAATTTCGCATGTAAAATCGCAAGTACAAATGCAAATTCAAAACATCTCAAATGAAAACTCACAAGTTCAAATTCAAATCCATAAACTCGCATATGCAAATTCAAAAACTCTCAAACTTAAACTTGCAAGAACAAATTCAAACCAATAAACATACATACACAAAGTCAAAAACGTTCAAACGTAACCTTAGAAGTACAATTCAAACTCATAATCCCTCGAATGCAAACTCAACAACTCTCAAATGCAAACTCACACGTGAACTCAACAACTCTCACACGAAAACTCGCAGCTATAAATTCAAACTGGTAACCTCACAAACGCAAACTTTAAAAACACTCCAATGCAAGCTCAAGCACTCTCAAATGCACACTCATAAACGCACTAAAGTCACCAGTGCTCTTAAACAAAACCACTCAAACAACTGTTAAAACTGGAACTAAAAAAAAGTTTTTTTAAATAAGAAAAAAAACACATACATGCAAAAATCGAAAATAAATATATGCACATATATATTCACAAAATTTACAAGGCATTACATGGTAAGATTTTTTTTTTCACACTTGTCTCATGATGAACATTCATAATGTTTAAGCTTTGTGGCTGCACTTTCAAAACCTTAACATTTATCTCAGCATTAGGCCTTGCCCAAAAGACAGCAACAATCTTTTGTACTCTAAGTGCATTATTGCAATCACCATTTTTAAAGTTATTTTCTGTGGTAATCAACAACGTCACTATAGCTGTTGTTGTATTTACCCTGAAACACTCCTCTTAAATGTATTAGGCGTAAAGGAACAACACTGTATGATAGTGAAGGATATTTTATGTGTTAATAATCTTACATTGGCCTGGACTATAATTAGATAGCGAGTTCTCTCCTCATAGTTCAGCCGCTCTGCCAAAACAATATTACCAGACAGCGTCCCAGAAACACGCACGGTCCTGTTTGACATCTGAGGCAGAGAGACAGAGAAAGATTGCACTATTTTAAATAAAACATTGCAGTTTGAAAGTTCACTCATAAAGTCACTGCTTTAAATTAATCATTAATTACAATGAAGAACTTGAGTGTAACTGCAGAAGGTCTGTTTGATCTGATGAAGTACCGGGTCATTTGGGTTGTACTGAATGGCGTATTCGATCTGTCCGTTTGGTCCGTCATCGATGTCCGTGGCTCCATTGTTTCCTGAGAAGCCGGTGAAGATGGTGGTACCGACAGGAGTGAGCTGGAGAGATATCATTAAAAAACACATGAAACAAATATCAGACACTGGCTATATGCTTGTGCAACAACACAGCAACTCTGACAGGCCTCAGATGTGACCCGTCTGACCCAGATAGTGTGTATGTGTGTGTGTGTTCCTTCTGAATCCCCTTAGAAGACAGACTAGACAGGGACAGAAGAGGAAGAAAGAAAATACACAGAGAAAAAACAAAGAGAAGACAACAAAAAGCCAAAGTCAAAACGGAAGGAGAGAGAGAGAGCAAAACCTGTACGTATGCCTGCACAAAAATACACACACTACTGATATTAAAATAACAGGTTAGGGTCAATCTACAACTGCGGTGACACTTCCATCTGCTATTTTTTTTTTCTGAAAAGTAAACTCAATAATAATAATAATACATTAAACCTACTGTGCTATATTAATGAATTTCCATTTCTTGTTTCATAGAAGGTCTCATTAAACCACTGCAGGATTTAAAAAAATAAATGAAAGATTTACCCATGGCTGGCATATTCAGTGAAGTGGTGTTTCATATAATTAAAGAAAATAAAAACCAATAACATCAGAGACAGTACATTTATGAATAAATCAATTGTGGTGGAAGACATTACAAAGACAAAAAAATGCTAGCATTAATCTTTTTTTGTAAGTTCTGAAACTTAAAAATGATTAATGGTAATGACTGTATTATTATTTTTTTTTTTATTAACAATGCTGGATTAATCACTTCTGCTTGTATTATTCTCATTTGCAATTTACTTTGGATAAGAGAGTCTGAAATTAATAAATGAAAATGGCATAACAGCTGACAAATGTAAAAATGTTCTCTCTCTCTCT